AACTGAGATCCTCCATCCACACGGCAGAGGGGAACACAAAAATGACAGCCTGTAACTGAAAATATGGATGGAGGATCTCAGTTTAGCTTGTTTGTTGCGCTAGCACTGAGCTAATACATATAAGGCAATATTTAGCATCACAAAGGCTAACAGGCTAAGCTGAGGTTCTTCTTCCATGAAGCAGCTCTGTTGTCCTCCATCTATATTTTCAGTTACAGGCTGAGTCATTTCTACCTTCTCCTCTCTGTCAACGCTCTCTGGTTTCATCTAAAAGAGCCAATCGTCAGATATTGTCCAAGATTAACCTTCAGGGTGGAAATAGCTCAGTAGCAGCCTCGCACCGAGGACCTATCCACGTCATCATTTACCCAGAATGGTTTGCGTGTAAATGAAATGACCCTGTCCGTGTAATACATTTTTTAACTTTTAGTTTAAAAATTATAAACACCAAACAGCCTACAGTATTTTTACAGTTAAAATATATTTTAACTGTAAATGAACTAAATGTTTATCAAATAAAGTCTAATGTTACAACTAATCACGGATCCATTTAAGTGTGCATTTTTTTTTTTACCAAAACGTTCTGATCAGTGGAAACCGTTCATGTTCCTGCCTGTTCAGACCATGAGGCGCTCTGTACGTTACCATGTCTCTGGCATGCAGTGGGCCTGCTGGGTGTGATGTGATGGACCAGAGTAATCCTGTCCTCAGAGATGCATAGATCACCTGTCGCTATAGACGACACAGCTCACCAACACAGCACCAGGCTCCTCCTCATCACACTGACTTTTCCACTTGATGAAGCTTTAATCTGAGCCGGTATGAGGCTGTGTTTACATCTTTAGTGTCAGTTTTTTTTAAAGAGAAATAAACGAGGCACCCCTTTTTATTAAGGAAGGATATTTGTTTTTGGTCCTGAAATATTCTGGGAAACTAAATTAGGAGGTAAGTTGGTGATGTTTTGGCTGTTGCATAATTCTTTGTTTGATTTGTGTATTTTATGTATCATATTGGCCCCATAATGGCCCATTGTTGTTTTTTTTTACATTTTTTAAATCTTATTTTTATCTATTTTATTTATTTTTTTTAATGTTCTGATTTAATTGCACTATGGGAGCTGCAAAAGTATTTCGTTGTTCATTGTCTGTGGACCGTAGTGTTCTTTTCAGTACAATAATGACAATAATATCTTATCTTATCTTATCTTATCTTATCTTATCTTATCTTATCTTATCTTATCTTATCTTATCTTATCTTATCTTATCTTATCTTATCTTATCTTATCT